TCCATATATGACCCACTGAGACTCATCGCTCTGAGCGTCACAAGAGCCAAAATTATATATTCCAAGATGAGTGTAGACGAGGTATTGGGTGGGATGAGCGAATCCCCTTCGTGTGTGGCAAAGCCAAGCTAGCCCCTTTGAAACAGCAGACCATACCCCGACTCGAGCTCTGCGAGACAGTACTGGCTGCCAAGGCAGACAAACAACTACGACGAGAACTCCGAATTACAAATAGACAGATCAGTGTTCCAGACAGACAGTACGGCAGTCCTTCAGTACATACGAAACACCGAAAGACGCTTCCATTCCTTCGTGGCCAATCGAGTGGCAACAATACACGAGGACTCCAATGCAGAACAATGGCGCCACGTGAAGTCGGCACAGAATACAGCCGATGACGCTGTAGTGGATATCTCCCCTACAACTACAACTGCCGTTTGTCGCTGACTAGCCGACCCCTCTTCGAATTCCCCAGCTTACGCCTCGTGGTCTAACGTCGGCAACCAGCGCCGCCTAACAAAGCTGAGGTCAACTATCAAGCCACGCCTACCCCCGCTATATAAGACCCCACCCCGCCGTGACCTGCCCTTCTTCTGCCTACAGCCACAGCAAGCAACACCTCCTCTGAGCACCCTAACCAACCAGCTCTCTCTACTCCACGCTTGTAACCACGATTCCACTTCCCAGCAACAAGCTGCATTGTACATCCAATATAATATATGTACAGAGAGCGCATTGTGAGTTTCCTTTCTCCATCCCATCCTGAGTGTGAACCAATATCTCAAAACTCCACAAATGGTGACCCCAGGAGAATCGCACTCACACAGGATGGAGGAGAAACTGATCACTCTCCCAGTCTTCAATCACAACATTGAAGACTGGCTTATCAACACGGAGGCAGCTCTCATCGGCTCTACAGCTACAGTCCCTACACCGCAGGTTAGACACCCTAGAGCAGCTCTGCTCCTCTAAGCTTGCAGCTGCTCCTCTTCCTGCCCCAAGCACCACGTCCTACCGACCCCAACACACCCGTCCTGTCTCAGACGGCACCCCCAGCCCCCAGCACAGTGTATCTACCCCCTGTTGGTACCATCAACGTTTTGGTGCTAATGCTAGACGCTGTGAAGCTCCCTGCAACCACACGGCGAAGCGACATCGACGGAGACTAGTAGGCGCCATAACCTCCATCACATGCCTTACTTCTGACCTTGACCACTTCACTCCTGCTGCCCGTCACGACCTCCCACCATTACCCCTTGCAGCACCACCTCGCCCACAACATTTCTGGGCACCCTCTTTTCTCCCTCAGGTACCCCCTGCTCCTGTCGTGGACCCTGCTGCTGTCGTGGACCCTGCTGCTGTCTTGCACCCTGCTGCTGTCTTGCACCCGCTGCTATCATGGACCCTCCTCCTGACGTGGCCCCTGCTCCTGACGTGGACCCACATACCCCACCAGGCGCTACTGAGGACTGTGTACCTGCAGCGAGAGAAGCACCACATTCCTCACCTCCACAACCCTCCTTCTCCCTCTGCTTCTCCCATAGATCTCGTGTATCTAGACAAAGTTGTCTCCCGTAGCGGCCGGCTCATCCACACCCTCACCGTTATGTCTCACATGTGGGATACAACCCTGCAGACAACAAGTCTCCTGCACCGCCCGTTATGTCTCACATGTGGGATACAACCCTGCAGACAACAAGTCTCCTGCACCGCCTGGAGGGAAGGAGGAGTATTGTAGTGGTTACCTCCCCTACAACTGCCGTTTGTCACTGACTAGCCGACCCCTCTTCGAATTCCCCAGCTTACGCCTCGTGGTCTAACGTCGGCAACCAGCGCCGCCTAACAAAGCGGAGGTCAACTATCAAGCCACGCCTACCCCCGCTATATAAGACCCCACCCCGCCGTGACCTGCCCTTCTTCTACCTACAGCCGCAGCAAGCAACACCTCCTCTGAGCACCCTCACCAACCAGCTCTCTCTACTCCACGCTTGTAACCACGATTCCACTTCCCAGCACCAAGCTGCATTGTACATCCAATACAATATATGTACAGAGAGCGCATTGTGAGTTTCCTTTTTCCAACCCGTCTTGAGTGTGAACCAATATCTCAAAACCCCACAATGCTACTTGTGGACTAAATGGAACAGAGCTCAACGATGAGGGCAGGTGGATTCGGGGACCTGCTTTCCTCTTGTTGGAAGAAGACGGTTGGCAAAAGAGTCCAATGAGGATTCCAGACCTCACAGACAGAGACCCAGAGGTGAAGAAGGAAACCACGGTGCTGACGACGAACGTTGACCAGGGGGAGGGTATCCTCGATAAGCCAGGTACTCCTCATGTCATCGACTTCTGAATAGTGTGGTGTAGATTAGAAGGTGTATAGAATGGCAGCTGGGGAAGTGAAAGAACAGACATCACCGAAAACGTCGACTCAAGGTCAGCGAATTAGAAGATGCGAAGTTAGTCGTCTCAAGATTGATACAAAGGAAGGGATTTCCCCACGAGATGGACGCGCTGGAACGAAGACACTCCATCAGGACTGGTGACGTAAGCAGACTGGAACGTTACCTGGGTGCAGACGGTCTGATCAGAGTAGGCAGCCAACTGAAGTGTGCTGCTCTCCATCCAGAGCAAAGAACCCCATACTGTTACCCAGGGACAAAACCCACAGAACTAATTGTACAGGAGGTACATTCGACCAGGGCTGGCCACTCAGGATGCGAGTACACTCTAGCTGCACTACGTGAGACGTATTGAATACCTAAGTGCCGTAAGATGATCGACCGAGTACTACGTACGTGTGTAATTTGTCGAAGAAGCAGTTGAAAGCCTACCCATGAACACTAAGCAGACCTGCCAGAGGACCGGGTACATCCAGAAGATCGGCCATTCACCTGCACAGGAGTCGACTGTGTTTGGTCCCTTTATGGTTAAACAAGGTCGGGCCCGGGCGAAAGGATGGGGATTCTTGCTTACATGTCTGGCCACCCGAGCAATACGCCTAGAAGTCCTCATCTCACTGAACACAGACTCATTCATCAACGTCATGACGAGGTTTCCATCCCGCGGAGGACCTCCCAAGCGTCAGATCCGCATGGTGAAGAAGGTTCTCCAGGGGGTGATGGGCACACAGGTACTTAACGACGAGCGACTCAACACCCTGTTCTGTGCCGTGGAAGAGATCGTCAACGGGCGGCCCATCACCCCAGTATCTGACGACCCGAGAGACCTAGAAGCACACACTCCGCTTCACCTACTGCGAATGCATGCGGGAACCCTGCCCATTGGAGGCGATCAGTCCATAGCAAAAGCGTACCAACAAAAATGGAAGCATGCCCAATTCATTGCAGACCAATTCGGGAAGAGGTGGGTTAAGGAATATCTCCCGACACTCCGGCAGCGACAACAGCACTTCAGGGCGCACCTCAACTTCTGCACTGGGGACATCGTCATCATATCTGGACATCCTCTCCCAAAGAGCCGATGGATGCTGGGAAGGGTATTGGAGGCAATACCGGGTGATGATGGCCTGGTGCGGCGTGCCAAAGTGAAGACGAAGGACTCAGTGTTAATACGTTTAGTGATAAAGCTCTGCCTATTGAAGGGAGTCTGAGAGTGAGACTCCCGGCAGACAATGGGTTTCGAGCAAGCTCAACAGGGGGAGTGTTACCGCCACAGTAGGATATGTTACCGCCATAATAGGATAAACTAGAAGAGAGAGAGAAAGAGAGGGATAGAGAGAGAGAAAGAAAGACAGAGTGTTGACAAACTTTGCTGGGGTGTTAAATGTGAAACAGATGGCCCTCCTCTAGGGCTGACTTGCTCCCTGTGGGGTTCAGAAGACAGTTTCTATCCGTCCAGTGACCGATCAAGTCCAACATTAGACCCGAAACACGTAAGTTTTATATGATTTAACACCCTACTCTACTCAAATATACTATATGTAGTCGCCAATAGTGATGGAACATACGATTGAATTAATTATCTCACATGTAACATATGTGATTTGTACTCTGCAGGTTTTGACCGAATAAAGAACAATCGAGTCCTACTTGTAAGGGTGTCATTAACCCACAGTCGCCCAAAGGGCGGCAATAAATGTACACATCAGAAATTTTCAATAATTTTTCTTTAATGCAGTATTGTACTCGGGCATTTTTGTATAATAAAAAGTAATTACAATTGACCTCAGAATCTCGCAATATCAAGTGCACATTGTTTCAAAATGGCCTAAAAATGCCCATGATATTGGTCGCCATGTTCCCCGCCCACAATTTCTTGGATCCCCGCCCCTATTGATATTCCTGAATCCACCCCTGGATGGGGAATCGTCTTGACGGGGAAACATCTAACAACCTATTAATTTACTATCATATTAGGTTGGAGCATTAATTGTAACCAAGTATTTGACGATACTCGCAACTTTCACTGGTCTGTTGCCCCCAAAAAAAGGGTTTGTTACCACGTTGCCAACCAATGTTGATGCTTCGGGGTGTTGAGTAAACACATTCCTTTGTGTTGCTCGCAATGGTAAACTGATTCCAGCTTTTAAATGTGATAACTTACAGAATTTCTTCTCCGAATAACTGCCTATTCTTTAATCTGGATTGTAAGACAATAATCCCTTAAAATAAAAAGAAAAAATAGGAATGAACAGCTATATCAGGCTCTGGCAGGAGGTGCCAACTAGCTTGTATCAACAAGAGGGGTGCTATGTATACACTATCCTACCCGTTAACCTCACCTCTTTCCCACTTTTCTTCATACAATATTTAGTTTTACTTAAGCTGCCGTCATACGTAACGTTTATGAATAAAAACTTTCAAAAGTAAATCATCACGTTATATTTTCGTTACCCAACAATTAAAAATCTTAAAAATAACGGAGAAATGTCCGTTTGTTAGGCGTTTAGAGCCAAACTGCAAGTAAAACTATCCTCATTCATCCTAGATTCCCAACAGACGATCAACCACATCCACCCAGTCGACTCCCTCCCCTGAGAGTAGCAACAACGCATAGCAGCTGCTCAGGCTTACTTTAATATCATGAAGTAATACAAACTTTAGTTTTTACGTGATGCATCTGCTTCCCTGGAAATGTCTGAAAGCACGATGTATTATAATTTTGAAAACCTTATAATTCTGGGCAAACAATTCTTATAAGTGAAGAGCACCGGAAATTGGACATTTTCTTTTAAATAAGCATGGTGAAGTTCTTCTCAAGATAAGATTGATTAACCAGCAACGATACCTGGACGCAAGAATATCTAGGGTGTTGAGTCTCTGTGATTGCCTCTTTCAAAAGGTGCGGATCTAAAAGACTATGAAAAAACCTGTAGACCTGGAACATCCTGAGATGTTCACAAGCTCAGAATGCTCACGTCAGGAGGCAAAATTGGTGGAACTCTCAAAGGAGCAGCAAACCGAGAGTATGCAATATCCCAAACTACGGGTGGGCGGCAGCGAGTCTCCAACCCACTTCTCACCAGGTATATCCCGTTGTTTTGTACCAGGCGTTTCAAAGGTCACATGCCATAGGAAAATTAACGTTCTCTCTTTTTTTCAGGCAAGAAAATAATAACAAATCAACGAAAATTGAGCGACGAGAACCAATGGAATTAAGTCTTCGCATCTCACATGGTTCTTGGGTGATCTTGGTAGACGACTGAATTTACTAAAATCATTTTAGGTGATCCCAGAAGTACTTGCTTGAACAGTGGCGTCAGAAAGGGGGGAGGTGGGGGGCACACAGAAAACTTGAGCATCCTCATAAAATTTTTAATTTTCTCTAAAATGGCACATTACATTATTTTGCAAATATTTTCAATTCACAGATGCACATAAAGTCACAATAACATAGTCCTGAATCACTGACGTGAATATCAAAATCAACAAAGATATTAAATGTAGTTTTTGAGTATGAAGTGGACTCTGAATAAGCCTACTGGTATAAAGTTGCAGCTGAGGTGCAGATTAGCAGTATCCAGCAATTTACTGAGTTCTGGGCACCATACAAAAAAGAATTTCCAGACTTCAGTAAATTGCTGAATATTGCATTAGTGCTGCCACCATCAGCGTCATCAGAGAGAAGTTTCTCTCTAACCTGAAGTTCATTAAATTTCTTGAGGAACAGTATGACTGATGCCAGGCTGTCGGAGCTCAGCGTTATTGACATACATCCCAGTAGAACAAAAAAAAATGATATGGATGAATTTGTCAAACTCTTTGCTTGTAAACAACAGAAAACTCAGCCGTTCTGAGAATGCAAACCTTGTAGTAGCTAAGTACAGTAGCCAACAGTGGCATTTCAATGATGAATCACTTGCCCTGGAATTGATTATACAGTATACTAATGTGTATAGAATATAACAGTATGCACTGTACATGTGCATTCATGTAATGGATGCTATCTACAAATGTGTAAAGTTATGAGAATTAATTGATTATATTTTTTCAACATTTTCAAACTTTCAAGCCAAGTATGTTTGTTTAATGGACAAACGGTTAATCAGTCAATTTATCATCTCAACAATTGTCCTTGTTACTTTTCATGTATTTATGTATTCATACACGGAACTTGATGTTGGTGTATGTTTCCTTTATTCTTTTCATTCCTTCTTTATGTTTAACAAATTAAGCATTTTCCTAGAAGTAAAGGTAGTATATGTTTAGCAGTTACATTAAATAGTTAACGGGTCTACTATATATATATATATATATATATATATATATATATATATATATATATATATATATATATATATATATATATATATATATATATATATATATATATATATATATATATATATATATATATATATATATAATCATCAACCTCACCCCGCCTATTGGAGGTTAGGGTCACAGCGCCATAAGCTCGATCAACAGGCTTTGTGTGAAATATAAGAACATAAGAAAATAAGGAGTCTGCAATAGGCCGGTTGGCCTGTGCATGGCAGCTCCTGTCGAGAGTTACTACCACTCTCTATCATCCATGAATCTATCTAGCCTCCTTTTAAAACTTTCCAGCATCCCAGCATTTACTACAAAGTTGCTAAGCTTGTTCCACTCGTCCACCACCCTATTTGTGAACCAGTTCCTTCCTATCTCCCTCCTAAACCTAAACTTATCCAACTTAAATCCGTTGCTACGAGTCCTATCCTGCTCGGATATTATAAGAACTTTATCTATATCCCCTTTATTGATTCCTTTCACCCACTTAAATACTTCTATCATATCTCCCCTCACTTTTCGTCTTTCTAGGGAATGCAAATTTAGTTTCTTTAACCTATCTTGATATGGTAGGTTTCTAAGTCCCGGAATCATTTTCGTCATTCTTCGCTGCACCGATTCCAGTGAATTGATATCCATTCTATAATAAGGGCACCAGAACTGAACCGCATAATCGAGGTGCGGCCTGACTAGAGCAAGATATAATTGCAATAATACCTCTGCACTCTTATTACTTACACTTCTAGATATAAAACCTAATACTCTGTTTGCCTTATTTCGAACATTAACGCACTGTTTTCTAGGCCGTAGGTCCGGGCATACAAGTACCCCTAAGTCTCTTCCACAAGTCGACTTCTCTAGGTTGATGTTGTTAAGGCTGGATACATTGACAGTATTTGTTCTTCCATATTTAGTACGCTGCACTTGCTGGTGTTGAATTTCATTTGCCATTTTTCTGACCACCCCTGCAGTTTATTTAAATCCTCCTGTAGTGGATCCTGCCCCGAATTAATCTGCTGCCCTATTTTGGTGTCATCCGCAAACTTGCTTATGTCACTGCTGATCCCAGTATCTAAATCGTTTATGTAGATTATGAACAAGAGTGGGCCTAGTACTGACCCCTGGGGTACCCCAGACCCCTGGGGAACCCCATGACCCCTGGGGTCTAGGATTGCTTTTAGTGTCCTACTGGTCTTGAGGTAACGTTCCCCGGTCATACACATAAGATCGTGGATTCGAGTCCTGGCGGGGTGCGGTTGATGATTATTTGTAGAAGTCCGAGTGCTTTATGGGCTAATGAAATATATATATATATATATATATATATATATATATATATATATATATATATATATATATATATATATATATATATATATATATATATATATATATATATATATATTGAATATTTAAGCGGTAGATAATGATAAGTCATGATATAATTTATTTAGATTTCAGTAAAGCATTCGATAGAGTCCTCATGAGAGATTGATAAGGAAGGTAGAAGCACATGGAATAGGTGGATCAGTATTAAAATGGATTAGGTCATGGTTAACTGGTAGGAAACAAAGAGTCAGCATAAATGGATTAAAGTCAGACTGGGGTGCGGTCAAAAGCGGAGTTCCCCAGGGATCTGTATTAGGCCCTCTGCTGTTTGTTATATTCATTAATGATCTTGATTTAGGCATAACTAGTAGGATTAGTAAATTTGCAGATGATACCAAAATGGGGAGTGATAAATTCAGACAGTGACTTTGAACACCTTCAAAGAGATCTAGATACCTTACATGAGTGGTCAGTAGACTGGCAAATGAATTTTAATACTGATAAATGCAAGGTACTACAGATAGGGAAGACGAATACAAACGTTAAGTATAAACTAGGTAACACGGAAATAGAAAACTCAGTTTGTGAAAAAGATCTAGGTGTATTTGTTAGCAACGACTTGAAACCTAGAAAACAATGTATTAGCGTTCGCAACAAGGCAAACAGGATTCTTGGGTTCATATCTAGGTCTGTGAGTAACAGAACTGCTGACGTTATCTTGAAACTTTTTACATTGAGGCCACACATGGATTATGCGTTCAGTTCTGGTGTCCTTATTATAGAATGGACATAGATTCTTTGGAGAGAGTACAAAGAAGAATGACAAAAATGATCCATAATATTAGAAACCTTCCATATGAAGAAAGACTGAAAAGCTTAGGCTTACATTCATTAGAGAGGCGTAGGGGAGATATGATAGAGGTGTACAAGTGGGTAAGTGGGATTAACAAGGGTAAAATGGAAGATGTTCTGAAGCTCAGTAATAACGAAATAACTAGAACAAATGGCTTTAAATTAGATAAATTCCGATTCAGAAAGGATATAGGCAAGCACTGGTTTGGTAATAGAGTTGTGGATATGTGGAATAGGCTACCGAGTGCTATAGTAGGATCGGGGACGCTAGGGAGCTTCAAGACGAAGTTGGATAGGCACATGGAAGTGCTGGGATGGGTGTGAAAGGGATCTGCCCTGTATGGGCCAGTCGGCCTCCTGCAGTATCCCACTTTCTTATGTTCTTATGTTCTTATAAAATCACACAGGGAAAAGGGAAACAATGGAGCACCTTAGCTTTCGTCTATATTCAAGACATCTTCAGAGGCAACTGAATTACATGGACAAAGAGAGGCTTAAGTACACAGGGTGACCTTACTAAACATTAGGTCAGGTCATAAACATGGCATCTACTAATCCGCACACCAACACCACCACACACGCAAAGGAGCTTAAGAGAAAGGGCGACGTGACTAGTCAAGTTAAGTAAGGTAAAAAATATGGGACCCACTAATCATCAATCCTACATCTAACTCCAATGCTTTAAAAACATTTTTAACCTTGGACCACAGACAAAAAACTTGTGTAACATAATATCAGTTTTGTGTTGATCATCACTAAGGTTTATAGAATTCAATTCCCTAATCAAACTAGCTTCAACCAGAAGTCTTTCTGTGACACATGATAATTTATACACTTCTAAGCTGTTTTCCCAATCTATGGGATGATTATTGTTCCTAACATGAACGAACAGTGCACTGCTTTCAGATGCTGTTTTGATATTGTACTTGTGCTGTTTAATTCGGAGTTGCAATGCTTTACCAGTCTGTCCTACATAATTTCCATTACAGTTGCTACATGGAATGCAGTAAACACTTCCATTTACATTCAAGGTTAGGCTTAAAAACAACATTAATATTTAATAATTTAAGGGACTGAACTTACGGGACAAATTCATTGCGATAAGGCAGTCAAAACATTCTTAAATGTAGGAATTTGCCTGGTGTGAGTAGAATGAAAGGATTTTTTAACCTTTTTAAAACAATGATCAACAAACAATGAAGGGTACCCAAGTTTTTGTGCAATGGACTGAATGTGTTTAAGTTCTTCATCAATAAATTCAGCGTCACAAATACGCAAACATCTCTAAAACATAGCAGAAAAAACTGACATTTTGGTAGATTCCAGGTAACTCGATAAAAAATGTGTGAAACTGTCAACCTGTGTAAGCTTTCTGTACACCTTAAATTTATAGTTATGACCATTTCTAATGATAAGTATATCAAGAAATGGAAGAGATCCATTTATTACTCTTTCATCATTACGAAATTAAATCATGTTGGTCTCAAATACACCACCTCAAAGACCCAAACAATTTTAATATTTCTTAAAATTGAAATTCCCATACACATTTTCCCCTAGAACTGAACACATCACAGGATTTAAAATAACGGAAACTGCCAAGAAAGGCTAAGCTCGTGAGTCATCCTTGTTCAGTGTATGTGAGGAAGGGTAAGAGAACATGCATATTTCAAGAGAAAGTATAATCTGAGATTTCTTCCTGTTTACAGTCATTATAAGCTGTTACTCGTTCCTGTTTTATATACGTAGGGAAAGGAAAGTCTCACAATAACAAGCACATTCTGTATACAATTTCACGATTTAGGGGAAATTCACTGGGTAGTATTTCTGACATGTTGCAATTTTATTGGTTTTCTCCCAGTATCCAACCCTCTTGCCGCTTCCCCTAATGTTTTATTTTTTAACACGTGAGGTATACAGAATTACAGATGTGCGGGAAGGGTGCAGGTGATGGCAGGAGTGTTTCACAGAGGTGTCTCAGACGATTTCCCAAACTGTTTACAGTTATCCTTCCTCACTGCTGATGCCCACGATGGCCTCGCCAACTTGCCGCCACCCCTCGCCCCTACCACCCCGAACCCACTAACCTAACTCTAAACATTAAAGTTTCTAACGCCAATGGTGGGCACTGATGTTTATAGTTAATGGAGGTCCACCATTAACTGTAAACATTTAGTGCCCACTAACACTTACATCTACGAACATTCGTAGCCACTACCAATGGTTGTCTACCACCCTTAATTACAAACATTCATATACAGTAACATACCTCACCTGTTCAAAATTAAATATGCCTAGCAATCCCACCTCTCTTTATCTATAAACATGCTGAGTCCCATTCAACTCTCTTTCTGAGTCCCATTATATAAGTAAGAAAATACTATTAATTGACAACAAATCATAAGGTGTGTTTCCAAGTAAGCTTTGTAAATGTCCTTTGCTCAGGAATCGACCACGCATTGGGAATGATCATACCATTAGGTCATAGAATACAATCAAAGTAACTGCTGGACGGAAAATCTGTCGCATCAATATCTCACCTTAAAGGGCGACAGAAATTTCGCATTTCCATATTATACAACCAAACTGTGTTTCCACGCTCTTACAATCTGTCTCACTTTAAAAAGCTGGTTTTCCGGCATCTTCGTGGTGTAGATTAATACAGTATAACTTTTTTTCTATACTTACAATTTCTTTTCGTTCTTTTTTTTCGCCCCCCCAGGCTCCGTTGTGGGTCGTTTGACCTGTGCCCGGGTGGGCTAATTCCCGTAAAAAAAAAAATACTCGTTTCACAGCGGAAGTGTTGATGCATAACACCCTCGCTTTTAACTCTAAACTTCCTGTCTTCTTCTTGTGACTAGTTTAAGGAATATAGGCCATAGGCACTATTTTTCCTGTGGGTTTACCATTTATTATTATTATTATTATTATTATTATTATTATTATTATTATTATTATTATTATTAGCAATACTAAACTTGAGTTTTGCATGTAAACCTCGTATTTTAAATAAGTTTTGTACTGAAAACCACTCCTTCCTTATGTCGAGAAAACCACAAATTAGATAACAGTAATTTTCATACTTTTATATTTTCATCTACGTCCATCTGCCACATATATCGGACACTATTTTCGTGCTTGAAAATGTGCTGTCATACAACTTTCTTGGCCGCATACATCGGACACCATTTTCGTGCTTAATGTGATGTCATGCGAACACTTCAGTGAGTGCTACATTATATGATTTATTCACGAGATGAACCAACCTAACCTTGCCTAAATATAATACATTACGTTTTTATGAATTTTATGTGAACAGCAGATTAAGCATAAAATAAGGTAGGATGGATATGATATATTACTGGTTTGTTTAAGACGAAATATGAAGGAAAAAGAAAGTCCGAAAATTTTAATTCCTAATTTGGAGGTTTCTTGGCGTAGTGGAAAATTTGTCTTGAATTCAAAACTGATCTAAAATAGGTGGTTTACGTGCGAAAATAAAGGTATTACAGTACATAATTTTTAGTGATTTAGGTAATTATTTCGCAAACATCGGCAATTGATTTTGGCATGAAAATTTTTTTTTTTAGTGTCAATCCTGACCCCACCAACGGGTAGGGTGAGCAGGACTTCGAAGCAGAGGGAAAATGTGGAATTAAAAACAGCTAACAAACCTAATCTAACGTAATTTAACCTAATTTAAATAAATCTTGTTATTGTACTTACCAGCCGGGAATTATTCTAGTCAATTATTGCTACAAAAATCAGAAGCCACCTTGAAACATTCAACTTAATTCATTCTTCTCAGCACGGGTTCACCCAGGGACGTTCTTGTCTCACAAATTTGCTTAGCTTTTTCTCAGAAGTATATGAAGCGGTAGATAATGATAAGTCATATGATATAATTTATTTAGATTTCAGTAAAGCATTCGATAGAGTCCCTCATGAGAGATTGATAAGGAAGGTAGAAGCACATGGAATAGGTGGATCAGTATTAAAATGGATTAGGTCATGGTTAACTGGTAGGAAACAAAGAGTCAGCATAAATGGATTAAAGTCAGACTGGGGTGCGGTCAAAAGCGGAGTTCCCCAGGGATCTGTATTAGGCCCTCTGCTGTTTGTTATATTCATTAATGATCTTGATTTAGGCATAACTAGTAGGATTAGTAAATTTGCAGATGATACCAAAATGGGGAGAGTGATAAATTCAGACAGTGACTTTGAACACCTTCAAAGAGATCTAGATACCTTACATGAGTGGTCAGTAGACTGGCAAATGAATTTTAATACTGATAAATGCAAGGTACTACAGATAGGGAAGACGAATACAAACGTTAAGTATAAACTAGGTAACACGGAAATAGAAAACTCAGTTTGTGAAAAAGATCTAGGTGTATTTGTTAGCAACGACTTGAAACCTAGAAAACAATGTATTAGCGTTCGCAACAAGGCAAACAGGATTCTTGGGTTCATATCTAGGTCTGTGAGTAACAGAACTGCTGACGTTATCTTGAAACTTTACCTAGCATTAGTGAGGCCACACATGGATTATGCGGTTCAGTTCTGGTGTCCTTATTATAGAATGGACATAGATTCTTTGGAGAGAGTACAAAGAAGAATGACAAAAATGATCCATAATATTAGAAACCTTCCATATGAAGAAAGACTGAAAAGCTTAGGCTTACATTCATTAGAGAGGCGTAGAGTTAGGGGAGATATGATAGAGGTGTACAAGTGGGTAAGTGGGATTAACAAGGGTAAAATGGAAGATGTTCTGAAGCTCAGTAATAACGAAATAACTAGAATAAATGGCTTTAAATTAGATAAATTCCGATTCAGAAAGGATATAGGCAAGCACTGGTTTGGTAATAGAGTTGTGGATATGTGGAATAGACTACCGAGTGCTATAGTAGGATCGGGGACGCTGGGGAGCTTCAAGACGAAGTTGGATAGGCACATGGAAGTGCTGGGATGGGTGTGAAAGGGATCTGCCCTGTATGAGCCAGTCGGCCTCCTGCAGTATCCCACTTTCTTATGTTCTTATGTTCTTATGTTCTTATTCCGCAAACCGATTTAGGGTCGTTAAATTCGTTTGCCGGTGTTTTCGGAATACAGTATTAACCACCCTGTTATTATCATTACTACTACTACTATTACCGTATTATTATAATCATGGTGTTTTCAATAAAAATTCGTTTTTATCCCATGTACCTATCCGGGAGGGGGGGGAGGACCTAACCTAACCTACTATTGCCACGTACCTATCCGTGGGGCTCCGCACCCTCCTCTCCCGGCCAAAATACCTATTGGATAAAAACGAATATTTACCGTGTTTCACTGACTCATATTTTAATATATTCTAATTCCATGGTGATGTGTTCTGAATGAACGTGCGTGAAGCAGGTGTGAACGCGGGGGGTTTGCAGGTGCGACAAGCCCGTTCTTGCCTGGACCTTTCCTACTGCTCCAGTGTGCCCCGTACTTCCGGCAATACGCCTTACTCTCAACAGTGTAACAAAAAGGACAAACGTGGTTCCCACCTGTCTGCTCCACTGGTCAATATGGGTTATGGTGTCCCCCAGTATCAACAAAAGCAGAAGCAGCAGCAGCATTCTCCTCATCGCCCAGTCGTGGCGACCAGGTCAGTCCCCCGGGCTGCTGTCAGTGCCTATGGAATGAGAACTCACTGCAATCTGGTAATACCAAGCCCAGCCCGCGGCAGCCCTTGTAGGAAAGGAGTGATGAACGGCGGGATGAGCAAAAGGGGGCACCAAGGAGTGACAAGCTGCCTCTCATGGTCGCCCAACCATCAGGGCAAACAACAGCAACGACGGGCCCGTGTGTATAGCGAAAGCCAGGGACTCTCCCGCAGCATGCGTATCAAACGCTGGATCCAGAACAAGCAGCGCAGGTCAGTACTTTGCGGTATTCTAAAATAATATTTCTAACCAATTTCTTTAGCATCCCTTGTATAAAATACTGTACGATAGAACTTTGAAATCAAGACAGCTCTTGTATATACCCATATTTCCCAGTGAATAGTGAACTGACGTGGACATGCGACGATGCGAGGTGAATTCTACACTTTCCACACTGACCTGGCCTCTAAGTCACGCCCCTCTTCTATAAAAATAGCTGATTGGTTCATATCAAATTTTCGTATAGCTCCATTTATTCAAACTAAATATATTCACAATTGGTAAGCAGACCTGTTATTCTCTAAAATAAAGTTAAATAACTGGATATCAAAATGCAAATGATTTCAATGCATTAGCACTTCAGAGAGGATATTAAACAATTGTAAATATTTATCGTAAAAGGACGAAGTCAAAGATGAAATTCGCTTTCGAGTGAAGTCTTTAAGTATTTCTTTGTTTCATATCAACAATAAAGCAAACAAAAACAAATGTTACCAAAAATGTAGCACAATCGGTAATAAATACGCGCAGTCTGGGGGAGGTAAAACGCTCAGAGGCAGCCACTGGACTTCGCGGCCAGATCAGCCGGACATGACTCGTGCTGTCAGTACGGTAGAGCTCGCATTAGAATACTATGACACAAATTAGCTATATCTCGTCCATCATTGTCCGAGATTTTCGTTCATTTGCACCAAATTTCTTGATACACGATGACAGGATGAAAATGTTAACCTCTACATCGCTTCTTAATACTTCGTAGGCTATATTATTACTTACATCTTTTACTTTTACTTTACTTTTATCCTCTTCACCAAATGATTGACTCGTTAGCCGCTTGGGCGATCGGTCACGTCTCTGTTACGCACTGTTGGCAAGTACTGGGCATGCACCGGCTCCTGAATGTACCGGAACCTGCTCCAGTGTTGGTCAAGTTTGGTCTTGGAAGAGCTCACACTCGGTGCCGTCACAACACTTTCAGGTAGATTGTTCCAAGAGTTTACAACTCTCACTCCGAAAAAGTTTGCCCTCACAGTTTTCTGGACTTGCGGCTTCTTCAATCTTGAGCTGTGACCCCTTGTGGGGCGAGCGCCCGCCAACTCCAAGTAAGGACACTCGACTGAGTAGTGCCCCTTGAGATGCTTATACACCTCAATAAGTCACCCCCTTGCCCGTCTGTAGTAATCTTGAATAGATATATACTGTACGCACTTTAAAAAATCTAAATAAATAATTTTTTTATTCATATTCACTACACCGAAATTCCACCTACCGGTATACAATACATAAATGTCCTAAATTTTTATTTTTTAATAATATATTTCTCGGATTTTCAGAAGTCAACATGAGAAAAGTTAAGAAATTATTCATTGATTTATATAATAAAGAAAAATTTGCAGGTTATAATTTTGCCTGTACTGTACTGCACTGTGATGCCAAGCATTAGATTCTTGAAACAACTGAATATGCAGCTCTCATTCCGCAACTCCCTTCACAGCTTGGATATACTTTATGCAGTACAGTACTGTGTACTTCTTGGAAGATGTAGTAATATTTTGTAAATATTTTTAAAAAGTAATCTGAATCTCATTCTAAATACTGTACACTACATTATTTTATACATGGTTGTGGTGTGATTGTCAATTTAATTTACACACAATTTGGTTCAACTGACAAATGATCTAGTATTTTTGTAATGTACACTGTGGCAGTTGGATGGACAATGCTGTATAGTGAATAGTAACCCAGAATGATGTCTATTGCAGCACATCAGAGGAGAACACTCAACACTCCTTTGTCACAGTAGATGAGGCTGATGAGGAGGGCCGACCAAGAGGTCGATACCTTCTCGAGAACATCTGTGAAGAAAGTGATGTGGACTTCCATGACCAAAAGTGAGTGGAAGTGGTAGAACACAACCTCAATGTGTTCCAATATTACTTGTGGAAATTGAAGGCTAGCACAACCTTACTAACATAACAGTGGGCTTGTAGAATTCATCCATTCTGTCTGTTCACCAGTCATGTATTTGGCACATTCTGGCAGATTCAACTTCAAAACCAATTAAGTTCCATTTGTCAGAGTTTACAGAGAATGAACTTATACTAGTGTTTGAAATAGGTCAAAGTATTTGGGGCTCAAAATTTCAGACTTCCTGTCTACGCAGGTAGCACAACCCAGGGTCGGGGGACTAGACCCACAGAGTTGCCACAACAGCAAGCAGTTTCCTGTGAAAATTCAACCCCAAAGTAGCCCAGAAAGTACAGACTTTTTTTTTTTTACTTTTTTATATGCTGAGTATCAGAGGTACCAATACAAATAAAATATGTGTTAATGTTTCACAATGTAAAAAAATAACTATTTACAAAACTATAGAAAAAGAATACGTATAAGAAAATTAAATGTTCAAATTTTGGTCACACTTGCTCTTAAGTGTCTTGCTACATGTGTTTCATATGAATTAAAACTTGAAAGCTTTAGATATAGAAAAATAATTCATAATTCCCTGTATACAAATATATATATATATATATATATATATATATATATATATATATATATATATATATATATATATATATATATATATATATATATATATATATATATATATATATATATATATATATATATATATATATATATGCTGATAACCACAAGGAAGAAGAAAACACGAAGTTCCCAAGCGCTTTCGTGTAATTCACATCTTCAGTACAGTCTGTACTCACCCCTGAAGATGTGAATTACACGAAAGCGCTTGGGAACTTCGTGTTTTCTTTTTCCTTGTGGTTATCAGCATATACCTAGATCACGCGCACCTACAGTGATTTACTTTATATATATATATATATATATATATATATATATATATATATATATATATATATATATATATATATATATATATATATATATATATATATATATATATATACATATTTACAGGGGCCTTTACAGGACTCACCTTCGGTCCCCTTAGACAGCACATTTTATGGGTCCTATGTAAATTTGAGGGGGTTCACTCCCCTTACCCCCTCATTTCAGATACTGCCCTATACAGATAATTTGGGAATGTGAACTTCTAATTTAGATAGAGTTTTGATAAATAATGAGGGAACCAGTATACAGTATTCAATGTTATGCAAATGTGTAAATAGTGTATATTTAAAGTTTAAAAATCAACCTCAGATAACCATATACAGCATTGTATAGGTGTTGTCTTCATCTGGTTAATTTATTTCATTCCACTCTAAATAGATTTATGATGGGAAATGTTTTAAGATTATCTTGGAATAAATTATATGTTTCATGGATAAGTGTCTCAAACCAAGTACGTACTGTACTGTACAGTATTGGTAACAGAGGTTTGTGGTTTTTTATGGAACATGAAATACAGTACAGTATATTATAAATTGCACTTGGAAGAATAACACCTCCTTTATGTCCAGACGGAAGTCCCGGCGGCGTGTCAGTGCCCTTACAACCCGGCGACGACACCAGTGGCGTTCTCAAGTGGGGCGAAACATCAGTCCATCCTCTGAGACTAGTGATGACAACTTTGAGAAGAACACAAACCTTGAAGACCGTCTGCTGAAGGTCAGCCATGGGTGGAATGCTCAGGCTGCCCGTGAGCATCGTATCAATGCCCTCAGGTCCTTTTTAACGACCAAGAAGCAGCCATTAGCAATGCTCAACTTATTAGAGGCCAACAAAATAACAGAAGCTATTGCTATGGCCAGGGAGATTAAGACACGAGTACGGCTGGATGTGTGTCTGCTGTGGGCATGTCTGCAGGGTGCCACTGACGTGGTGCACATGGTGCTTGAAGCTGGAGCCAATGTGGATGCTCGGGACAATGCAGGGTTTAGTACCTTGCACTTAGCAGCAGAGAGTGGTTCCCCGGAAGTGCTGCAGGTGCTGCTGAAGAATGGGGCACGTGTAGGTGGCACATGGGATTGGGATGGCAATGAAGAGTTCACGCCTTTAATGTTGGCTGCTCGTGGTGGTTGTGTAGGTGGTATTAAAGCATTGATAGCAGCAGGTGCAAATGTGGATGGTGGATTGAATACAATTGGGGAGACAGCACTGCACCATGCAGTCAGAGCAGAATCTCCTGAATGTGTTGAGCTCCTGATCAATGCTGGTGCCACAGTCAATCCAATTCTCCTCTATAGTGAGACACCTCTCCATATTGCAGTGTGTGAGGGACTGTCAGATATAGTAGGTATACTCCTAAGTGCTGGAGCTGATGTCAAGGCTTCAAGGGGAAATTCAAAGATGACGGCACTTCATATTGCTGCCCAAGAAGGTTACTCTCAAGTGGCTCATCAGTTGTTAAATGCCAATGCCAACCCAAATCAAGCAAACCTCAGAGGACAAACACCCCTTCACTTAGCAGCAAAGGCTCAGAGTTATGACACTGTACAACTGCTGCTCAGCTTTGGTGCTCATCCCAATGCCTGTGACTATGACCATAAAACACCACTTCACAGTGGGATCTTCAAGGGGTCAAGGTCTCACGAGTGCCTAAGGCTTCTCCTAGAGGCTGGTGCTGATGCCAATGCAGCAGATCAACTGGGCTACACACCACTACACATGGCAGCACTGCATGACTCCTCTTACTGTGTTTTGCTCTTCCTGGATCACGGTGGTGATGTTACAGCTTGCACTCAGGGCGGGGTCTCGGCTCTCAATGTCATACTGCGCCGAACACCCACAGTCCTTGCCCACATCCAAGAAAACCTTGATGCTGCTATCTCCTACACCGATCATGACCACCATGAGAAGGATTCTCAGGTAAGTGATTAGATACAGCACAATTTTTATTGTTTTACTCTCTGCATCTATGAATGATATAATCGTCCTTAGACCAGCATTTACTGATAAATTTTTGTAGCAGTATCTTTGACTTAAATCTAAAATTTCTTTAATCAAAGAAAATAACTCGGAAACTAATTGTAGACGATAAATGTCATTCTTATTTTTCTCATTTAAAACATACATACATACAATACATTAAGTCAATTATTCAACAGTATATAATTATACAGTAAATATGTACTATAAGTACTTTATATCATCAAGTGCAAATAATACACAGCATTGCAAGATGTGTTGTGTCAGAGGCCTCTTCACTCAACTTCCTTTTGGTAAACTCCAGCAGATTCCTACATGAATAAATTCATAAAAGTACTAATTTTATTACACTTTCCTTCTCCATCATTACCTTATATCCAAGAACTTCATCGTATGTCAGTCATGCCCTTGACAGTACAGTGCCACATTTCACACCATATTCTTTATGCTTTCCTGGCCTCCTTTTGAATTTCCTCATACTTACAGAGTACAGATATTCCTGCTGTTTTTACTCTGCTAGTCTGTCTACTGTTACATTCTCATGGTGTATGTGTGTTATGGTAAATAGGGACACCAATTGTGAAAAAGCTCTTTAAACATTCGGGAAGTGCATCTCAGTCCTGTCTCTTCTGTTCGTAATCTTGGAGTGTACTGTGACTAAACTGAATTTTAAAGAGCATATAAATTCAGAAGTTAAGAGCTGCAACTTCTATGTTCAAAATCTAGTACTGTACTGTTAGACAGCTTTTGGCTAAACAGTGTAGTGTGACACTATTACATTCACTTATTTTGTCTCTGATTGATTATTAACTCTTTATGGGTTTGCCTACCTAATTATCTACAGAAGTAAGTTCAAACAGTGTTGCCAGGTCTATTTTTGCTCTCCCACCGAGGACTCCCACTAACCCATTCTTGATCGAATTACATTGTCTTCCAATTAAAAGTAGAATAAAGTTCGAACTCTGTTTAATGACTTTTAAGACACTGATGTTTTGTGAGCCTAAATATTTGGCCAACCTACTAATTCTACTGACTACACATTCTGAAATAATTTTGCGTAGTTGTGATGATCCTTCACGCAGTATGGGAAGGTTCTTTTGCTGCTTGATCCTTTTCCTATACAGCTCTCAGATTATATAATCAGTTGCCTACATTCATGAAGCAGCTGACTTCTGTGGAGGCCTTTAAGAAACAACTTAAAACCTTTATTTTTTTTGAACAGGGTACAGTGATGAAGTACTGTACTGGTCATGATATATGCTAGAAATTCTCAGTTGATTAAGAACTTCCAAACAAAGACCACCAAACTGGTGCCTGCACTCCAGTACCTCAGGTACCAAGAGAGATTAGAATGCCTGCAGCTGCCTATCTTATACTATGGATGGGCAAGGGGTTATTTAATTAAATTTATGAGCACCTCAGAGAACATTACCCAGTTGAGTACTCATATCTGGACCTAGGGGATACCCACCCTACTAGAGGTCACAGCCTTAAGTTAAAAAGCTACACGTGTAAAAATCAAGAGTTAACTTTTATGGAGTGAGAGTTTGAACTCTGGAATAGTCTGCTCGTGCTGTGTTGGTACCTAGTGTAAACTCATTTAAAGCCAGACTTAATCAACACTGGTGTAGGTGTGTAAAAGGAGAAGTGACCAACCGGCTAGAATGCAAACCATTGACAGAGAAAATAAAGTTAAGAAACAAATGTCTTAAATGTAAAAAGAGCAGATTTTACCATATGTGAACTAATTTGCATCATGTTATACAACAAAAACAAGAAGTTATTCCTATTTCGGGAACCATCCATTCCATTTTAAAGTGTGACTTGAAGTTTATCCCTCTTTAACATATATATTGTGTACTGTGTGTAACGTATTTTGTCTTCATGTGAAAAAAAAGTTTAATAGGGAAATATAATATGCCCCATTTCCTTCGTCAGGTACAGATAGATTTCCGAGTCCTGGTGCCAGGAGATGGTGATGGTTTGGAATGTAGGATGCTTTCCTGCTTCATCCGTGAAAATCAGAAGCCTCTTCTCAAACACCCTCTCTGTGAGACGCTGCTCTTCCTGAAGTGGCTCAGGGTCCGTTCTTTCTTCATTGTCAATCTAGTATTCTATGCACTGTTGGTGGCTATGCTGACATGCTATATTATGGTGGTGTTCCCTGCAGCTTCATGCCTACATCTCAACTCTACCACACAGGAAACTATTTTTCCACCTTTCCAGTTCACTGCCTCAACGTTCCTCGAGACAAACCAAAAGCCACTCTCAACTAAGGTGGATTCTGATCATCCTAACATTCTAGAGGTCTCCTTAGACTTCTCAAATGGTAGTCTTGAACCAACAGAAACTTCAGACACCATTTTGCCCATACAGTTGGAAAAAATATCAAAAAGAGAACAATGTGGGATGAAATATGAGGAATTACTAGTCTATCTTCTTTATTTTGTATGGGCAGGCATAAGCATGTTAGCCATAAAAGAAATTTTTCAAGTAATTGATACACCAAGGACATACTTCTCTTCTTGGGATAATGTTATTGTGTGGCCAATCATCATATTCACAATGACTATCACTGTTACATCGTACGTCCGTCATGACACTGAAGAATGGGAACATCACTTAGCTGCCATTGTCATATTCCTCAGTTGGGTGGAGCTGCTTCTACTCATTGGCAGGTTTCCAATCTTTGGTTTATATATACAAATGTTTACGCATGTTACAAAAAACTTTGGCAAGTTTTTATTTGCATATGTCTCCCTTATTAATGCATTTTCTCTAAGTTTTGGGGTCCTTTTTCCAAATCATCCTCCCTTTAAAGTGTATGCACTGAGATTTATCAAGACATTGGTCATGATGACAGGAGAAATTGAGTATGATGATTGGTTCTTTGGTGATAAAAAAATCATGTACCTTGGAACATCTCATGTAATTTTTGCTGTTTTCTTGATATTTGTTACAATTATTTTAATGAATTTACTTGTTGGTTTGGCTGTGTCTGATATTCAAGGTCTCCAGAAGTCAGCTGGCTTGGATAGGTTGGTGCGCCAGACAGAACTGATAGCACACTTTGAGTCCATCATGTTTAGTGAGTGGCTAGCGTGGGCTATGCCACAAAGAATTCTTAGTTTTCTGCATCGTAGTATTTTATTATGTCCATCACTCTATGGCAGGACTCTGGTCCTGACACCTAAAACTCTTCAAGACACTGGTATCCCTCAAGAACTTGTTGATGCAATTATTCGCACAGCTCGCACACGGGACCATGCCACACGTCGCAGGAATGCTTTTACCAATTTTCGAACATTAAGTAAGACGGCTCAGTTTTCCAGCGATGCAGATGGGGACATGCAGAGAAGCATTGATGCTCTGCGCTTTGGCCTAGATTTATTAGTCTGGGATGTAGATGAACGGCGAGAGGACAGTGTGCATCTGAAGGAAGCTCTTGCCACCCTGAGTGAGGAACTTGCTCATGTGGGTCAGTGTGTGGAGACTTTGTCAGCAGCCAAGATGTGCTCCAGTTGCCAGCAGCAGGAAGAAGGAAAAGAAGAACGGACTAGTGTGTACACCTCATGTGGCACCCCAGACACTATGTCAGGCCAAGGTTCCAGCGCAACACTTACTTCAGAAGTAAGAATGAACGTTTAGTAGAATTTTGCAGTGTGCTATCAAGAAATCTTGAAATTTCACTCTATATCTGACTCTAGATCAAGCAACTATGTACAGTATAACCAGCAAGTCTGCGAGTCAGAAAATCTCAACCCCATTATCCTGACTTGTGACTGGCATGTAAAGACAGTAAATTTGAAACTGAACAGAATTAATCCCCCTGAAACTTTTTAATTTATTTTTATCACCTTTCCCTACATACTGAGGAGCTACACATAATCTCTGCTCGTCTTTTGTCACTCTGGTCATCCATTCCATCAATTTTCCACCTCCACAGCAATTCCATTAGGTCCTGAAGAAGCTAATCATTTTTCATTTTATGAGTACAGTAATCCCGTGTTTTTCTCGGGAATTACGTTTCTGAAACCCCCGCGAAAAGCCAAAACCGCGAGTACTCTTTTATGAATCACTGTACCTGTGGCCACCAAACAGCTCAGGTAGGTCATGCACTTAACTACGCCATGCTCTCCACTCACAGCCCAGTGGTCACACTGATCACTGATGCACTGTACCGGCATTTACTAACATCATTATTTGAAACTAATCATATTGTAGTATAATAATGGAAAAATGTAAGTGTATGTATATTATGTATGCTGTATGTATATTAGGTATGTTGTATGTACACTATGTATGCACTCCATTTACTGTATATACATTACTTATTTAGCTAGCAGCGTGTGGCAATGTATTTTTCATGTCACCACACTCTTAGAAAATGTGCCTGGCGACATCTGGAAGCTGCTAACGTATCACTTGCCACATGTCGCCTGAGAGGTTAGAGAGAGGTCAGTTGACCCATAGAGAGTGTAGGGAACCGCCGTCTTGGCTCGCGCACCTCTGTACAATCCAGCAAATATAATCTACAAAACTCTACAGGTGTTTGTTATATTGCCAGACTGGGGTCACTAATTCTAAGGGGAAATACTTAACTCTAATCTTAATTTCTAAGGGTCGCTGCCACCAGACCCCTCTGGACAGTATGTAACTCGTTAGGTAGCGTGCAGAGTGGACTAGGCATTGGGTTAGGTTTTTCATTGACCAGATCGATAAGGGGAAAGAAGGGTGAAACCACAACATGTCTTAGTTCTTTCAATTATTCTTTCTACTTACTTCAGTTCATTTTGGTAGCATGTCGGTGGTCTAGGCACATGGGTAGTGCAATTCTGATATCAGGGTCACTTGGACGGAAATAAAGGTAACTACTGTGGGAGAAATGAATACTCCTAAAATACTCAAAGAACAAGTTTATTAATATAAAATCAAAGTACCAGGCTCAACTCCTGGGCTTATTGCAGACTCCGTATTTCTTATTTACTTATTTTCTTATTTACTCAACAGCAATTACTCAGATATTACACTCTTACCGTGTCTGTGTTCGTCTTGAATACCCACAAAATGTTCTATACTACTGAAGGTATACACAAACACTTGTTATCTTAAAAGTAGGTTCTATTCTCGTACGGGAAATATATATACAAAGGGACCAAGAAGCTCACTTCCGCACCACAAGGACTGGCAGTCTTCACTCTCTCTATGTATTACTGCGCGCTGCATGTACAGATGCCAGCATTCACAAGCGGAATACATACAATGTAAATATGATAATTTATATACATAACATGGTGCACAATAAATGGAGATATTACATAGAATTAATACATGTTCTGCAATACTTTACTATACATAATTAATGGAGTAATATAAAGGTACACAGCTGAAGGTACTACTTTGTGTCCATATCATACACCTCCCTCCCCCCTATACGCTCATAGTTTCATCTTGAGCGGACCTTTTGTTTCCGTGTCGCTTGGACCTGCGGAGTACTGGAGCAGAAACACAAGGTGGGGATGGATTTACTGTAAGGACATCAACATTAGGGGACTCTACTGGGGAAGGGTCAACACTAGGCGGCTTCACAGGTCGGAGGAAACGACGGTTCCTCCACCATACTCTACCACTAGGAAGACGCACTTGGTAGTCCCTGGACCGGCCAATACCCATGACAACCCCAACCTTGTCCCAGCGGTGAGATACCAGATCTTGAATCCTGACCTGCTGGCCGATACTCAACCTGGGAAGGGGGCGGGCATGACAGTCGTACCGAGCAGCGACATCTGCGGCTCGTTCTGCTGCACGGCGGTCACATAACTCAGTCTTGGTCTGCCATTCTTGAGAAAAAGACTTCGGGTGGGCAGGAACACAAGACCTGAGATGATGTCCGTATAGAACCTGGGCTGGGGAGCGTCCGGTGAAGTTCGGGGTGTTGCGTAACTCCAACAAACCTCGATCGAAGTCCTCATAGTCGATATTTCCTGAGGGTGACACCTTAAGGATCGGGTGTTTCACAGTCTTGACTGCGGCTTCAGCGTGTCCATTCACCTGGGGGTAGTGGGGCGAGGTCACGACATGACGGACTCCCCAACGGTCCATGAAGTCCCGGAACTCGTGGCTGGTGAACTGGGGTCCTCCATCAGTCCTGAGGCGAAGGGGAACACCAACTTCTCTGAAGTATTGCCTGAAATTCCGGATGGTAGCAGTAGCCGTTGTATCACTACCACAGGGGACGACAACAGGCCATCCAGACAATCGGTCGGCAATGACGAGGAAGGACTTCCCTGCTACTGCAAAGAAATCGGCCGACACAGACTCGAAGGGTCTTGAAGGGTTGTCGTCGCACATTAAAGGTTCCTGTTGCTGGCTTGGTCGCAGAATCTGGCACGGCTCACAGGCACGGACAGTACTTGCAATGTCCGCGTCGATTCCGGGCCAAAATACAGTCAGCTTCGCCCATCGCTTGGTGGCCTCCACTCCTCGATGGCTGTCGTGAAGGCGGGTCAAGGTACGGCGGCGTAGGGCAGCAGGAATGACTACTTGTGGACCATACAAGACGAGGTCTCCCTCACAATAGAGGTCCTCGCATATTTTCCAGTATGGGAGTAGCGATTCATGAAGGTCGTATCGGTTAGATGGAAATCCCTGGGACACACAGTCGACGAGCCGGATGTAGGAAGGGTCGGCCCGGGCTGCGGTGCGGAGATCTTCAAGGGTTTTGTTTGCATCCGGTGCTGTAGACTCTTCTGATGTGAAGACGGCCTTCAATGAAACTACTGACTTGAGGGATGCAGCAGCTGTAGAACACAACATCTCGTCCTCTGGGGTGGGGCGACTGACAGGGGGGCGCGGGACAGGGCATCCGGGATGCACAGCAGCTTACCCGCACGCCACACAGCCGTGAAGAGATAAGGCGAGAGCTTCTCTTTCAGACGTTGAAGGCGAGGATTCTCTACTGCATCCAAAGAGTAGTGATTGATTATAGGTATAAGAGGGCGATGATCCGTGAAGAGGGTGAAGTGCTGAAGTCCTATCAAGTAGAAGCGGCACTTCGCCATCGCCCAGACAACAGCCAACATCTCCAGCTCAATCGTGGCATATCGGGTCTCGGCTTCCGCCAGGAACAGGTATCCACACTGAATTAAGCGGAGGCGTAACCAACGCCGTAGAGTCTGGAGGCGTCAGTCTGGAGGACGGTGGGTAGGGCTGGGTCATAACAGGCGAGGACAGGTGGACTTAAGAGGGCCTGCTTGACTCGCTGGAAGGCCTCTTGATGATCTGGGGTCCACAGGAATGTCCTCCTGGGGCTCAGCAGAGGGCGTAATGGCTGGGCTGCGGCGGAGATGTCAGGTGTGAATTCAGCCAGCTGATTGACCAGACCTAAAAAAGAATGGAGGTCTGTCAGGTTGGCAGGGGTTGGAAAATCCCTGATTCCACTAATTTCTCCGGGTCAGCTGCGATACCTGATGCTGAGAGAGTGTACCCACAGAAGTTCACTGATGGTGCGGCGACTACAAACTTGTCAGCGTTGAGGGTAATCCCGTACTTTCAACATCTGGTGAGAACTTCATATATTCGGGAGAGGTGGGCACAGTAGTCTTCGTCATGGAGTAAGATATCATCAACCACTTTGACACAATTCGTGACTCCTTGAAGGGCCGCGTCACCACGTTGACAGAATGCATCGCCCGTAGCGGCAAATCCCATGGGGCCTCTGCAATACTGATATCTTCCATACGGTGTGATGAATGTAGTCAAATGCTGGTCTTCTTCGGCCAACTCGATCTGCCAATAACCACATAAGGCGTCCATCGTTGTAAAAAACTTCGCCTTTGGGTCCACATTTCGAACAGCTGCTAAGGGTGTGGGTGAAGGGTGGGCTGGACGGGAAACTTGCTGGTTAAGTTTTGACAGATCGGTGGTGATCCGTACTCCACCACGAGGTTTGGCGACAGGGACGAGAGGGTGGCACCAAGGTGAAGGTTCGTCTCCGGCCGGCTTGATGATTCCCTGAGCAATCATGGAGTCAAGCTCTTGTCTAACTACCTCCTTGTAGGCATGAGGAATCAAACGAGGGGTGTGGATGGCAAAAGGTATGGCACCATCCTTAAGATGAATCTTCATAGGTGGACCCACCATCGGCTTGAGTGGTGTGGATCCCAAAGATTTCTTCGTAACCAACATGTCAGCAAACTCCTTGAGAAGGTAAGCTCTTGCATCAGAAGGGGACGTGTTAGTAGAGATAGGGAATTCCTTCAACCTGTTGACATGGGTGATCTTTAAAATGGGCTTGGGGAATTCCTTGGAAATAATGGCCAACTCTTGACAATGACCATATGATAAAAGCGGAGTCGGGATCCCATCATGAACATCAATCCGGGCTGAGCAAGACTGCTTACCAAAGGTAAGAGTACCCCAGAAAGATACCAAAGCTGGAGCCATCTTGGAACCATCAGCTGTCAGTTTCGTTGTCTGAGGAGGGGGCTGTAGGTTGCTCCGGGGTATTCCCAAACTTGCTAAGTGTTGTGGACCAATTACTGAGACGTCAGCACCGGTGTCAGGTAACATCTGAAGACTGGATGACGAGTTACCGTAAGAAATGACGACACTAATGTGCTGGGGCGTCGTGTCTGTGGAACTATGTACACGACGGCAGGAACGACTGGACACAGCGTCTTGATGCTTGCCAGGAGGGGGCGTGCCAGCACTACCTGAGGATGACTTCTTGGATCCTAGGTGGTGTCCTTTCCATGTCTTCTTACGACAACATTTGTCATAATGGCCCACACGACCACAAAGTCTGCATTGAACTTTGCTAGCAGGGCACTTGACTGTGTAAGCCCAGTGACCCTGGCGGTCGCAACTTCTGCACACGCTTTGAGCAGCTGGGCACTGGGAGGCATCATGTTGTCTCGCACAGCTGTTACACAAAGCTGCTGCTGAAGGTGTAGCTGGAGGGTGAGGGGTGGGGTTACCTTGCTGCTTCTTACCCTTTCTGTAGGAAGACACCGCCCTCACCTGGTCAGGTTATGAGCGTAAAGCCGAAGTCGCACACCTGGCGGCCTCGTACGCTCGACATTTTGTAACAACATCTTGAAGGGAGGGAGTGGGGTCGAGTGAAATGAGACGCTGAACTAGCTCT